GAAATTCCAATGGACTCTCATATGAACATTTGAAAATTTCCCTGTTCTGAGATTTTTCTAGCTCCATGTCTAGAACTTGTAATGCTAAGTACTCTTACCTTTACTTCTTCACATCTCCTATTCATGATTCAAGGACTTCTCCCCTTAGAGACAAAAGTTATGCAATTTGGGAGTCTTTTAGCTAGACTCACTGAAGGGGTACTCCAATTGCCTCACCTTGTGTCCCTGTTCAGCATGGAAGAATCCAGAGTGGTCAGCATCCTGATTCCCTATTGGCAATTTGGGTAACCCCTTCAGAGGATGGCCTGATAAGAATAGGAGGTATGAATTGGCTAGGGAGTTAGGGTAAAAAGACCCCAAAGAAAAGTAGCCAGTTTCTTGGCTAAAAGTCAAAATGTCCTTGGGCCTGTTAGCAACATATTCTGTTCCAAAGGCCAAAAATATCAAAAGTACTTGGGGGCTTATATCTAATCTTTAAAAGATTTTAGGGTTACCTCTTCAGAGGGTGGAATGTTAGAGTACCCAAAAGCTGCATAAAAATAAATAAATGAAAGTGTTAGAATAGCAAAAAGTCCCATTAAAAAGAAGAAAGAAAGAAAGAAAGAAAGAAAGAAAGAAAGAAAGACAAAAAGAAAGAAAGAGATTACATTTTAGGGGTCTTTACAATGCAAAGCATCTATGTGAAAATTTAAATTAAGTAAGCAAATTGGTTAGTCAAAAATATGAATTATTAAAAAAAGAATTTTATTTTCCATACAAGTCATGGTATTTGAAAAGTTCAGAGAAGAAATTTTATTTCAATAAATTTGTCAATATTTGGACATCCATTGTATACAAAGCTTTGTTTACAACAACAAAATACAAAAGAAATTGAGGAATTTATGTTCAGTTGATATAACTAGTCAATTATATGCACATACAATTAAAAGACTAAGGCACAAGAGGAACCAAAGAAAGGAATGTTGTACAGTATTTCTTTTGATATTAGGAAACTGTCACAGCCGAATTCATAAAGGAATGCAGAAGAATGTTCCTAGGCACTGCTGGCAAAAACAAACAAAACTTAGCAGATGATAAGAAATAACAAAAATCAGAGCAGAAATTAATTAAATGGAGACAAAAAACACAATAGAAAGAATCAATGAATCTAAGAGCTGGACCTTTGAAAAGATCAATAAGATAGATAGACCTTTAGCCCGGCTAACCAAAGAAAGGAAAATCAAACCCCAAACAGTGTGCCAAATTTTGCACTGTCCTGCTCCATCTTTCCTGAAGCTTCTATCACCCTTTATGCACACATCCCCACCACATGCATTACCCCTTTGTTGGTCGCCTGCAGCTGTCTTGGTTCGTAGACTGATGGCCATGGTATTTTGGTGCTTTGTGTTCAACCAGCTCTGATTTTACCTAAGAATCTTCTCTATCATGCGAGACTAGTGATGCTGTCAGTTTGGAGACTATAAAATAATCAGCTCTTACTCTTTCAAGAATTTCTTGTACACAGCACATTGGATCTGCTTTAATGCCTTTAAGATTCTCTATCATTTCCATTTAATAGCTTAATTATGTCTGCCATGAGTTATTTTGAGCTGATTCTACTTATAGTTCATGGAGTCTTTGGATATGTAGATTTATTGTATTTCACCAAGTTTAGGAAGATTTTATTTATTACTTATTCAAATACTATTTAAAAAATTTCTTTTGAGACAGAACATCCTTTAGCCCAGGTTGGCCTGAAGGTCACTATATAGCTAAGGTAAATTTTATATTTGGCATTTTTATTTTGTTTTCACAATTGATGTCTCTTTATTCTTTTACACTTAGCAAAATAAATTTATCATGGCTTCTTTATGATTGTTTTTTAATACAAGAAGAATTATCAGTATAGGCTTTTCTTGGTTTCCAGACTCTTACAGTCAGGTCATACATTTTTATCCAATCCCATTTCTACACAGTTGTCTGCTCTTCATAAAATCTAAGCACAAACATGGATAATTGTCCCATGGTCTTTTCTGAAGCTTCCTGTGTCATATAGAGCAATGATTAAACACATTTCTTGTGTTTATATTTTGTTAACTTATCTTAATGTACATACACACACACACACACACACACACGGTGGTTCTGGAAATCCAAGACTAAAGCTTTGCCTTTTTTATAATTCATTTTTTATTTACATTTTATTGAATTTTTGCAAGTTTCTTTTTCTTTTTCTTTTTAAATCCTTTTCTAATTTATTAGATTTTTGTGCATTTTATGTAATAGATCTTAATCAATTTAGACCCCTTCCCCCATCTGCAAGGCCCCACAGTCACCTCATTTCATGCATTCTCTCACATATATTAAGTCCCATATGATCAAGTATTTGTACCAAGATGTCCCTTGGTGCAAGTTCATCCACTGTTGTCTAGTCAGTCTACCTAGAGTCACTCCCTTAAAGAAGATCTATTCTCCCTAACCCCACAGAAATCAGTTGCCAATAGTTTCTTAGCTAGGGTTAGAGCCTGCTGCCTATTTCCACAGTTCTATGTTGGGTTTTTGTCTGATTGGGTTGGCATGTCTTGTGCATTCTGTCACTGTTGTTGCACATTCATATGAGCAAGGTCCCAGTGGCCTGAAAGCCTCTGTCCCCTTATGTTCATGCATCAACTCCGGCTCTCATACACTATAGTTTGATGGTACACGGAACCCTCTCATCTCAGTATATTCTCCTATAACCCCCGGTTCAATTTAATGCTTGTATGCTTTCTCTCTCTCT